CTCATCGGGCTGGGCTTGGAGCCCCGGCGGGGTGCGGCGGGGCCGGGCCGGGCGCTGGCTGCAGGTGGACGCGTCTTGCTGAGCGCCGGCCTTACAGTAGAGCTGCACTTTGACCTCGTTGTGCAACCATAGTGAAGGAAGTAAATATGGTTAACGTAAAAAATACAACCCGCCTTTGGATAAATGCTGTCTTGTGCCAGGCACTGTTTTCACAGGAAACTGAACTATTGGAATAATATTAACTGGATGTGGAGCAGTGGGAGGGAGCCTGGAGGAGGCCACAAAGATGCTCCAAGGGCTTGAGCACCTCTGTTATGAAGACACGGTGAGAGCTGGGGTGGTTCAGCCTGGAGAAGAGAAGGCTCCTTAAGTGGAGACCTTAGAGCAGCTTCAGTGCCTGAAGAGGCCAACAAGAAATCTGGAGAGGGGCTTTGGACAAGGGCCTGTAGGGACAGGCCAAAGGAATGGCTTTAACCTGCCAGAGGGGAGACTGAGCTGAGCTCTTAGGCAGAAGCTCTTCCCTGTGAGGGTGCTGAGGCGCTGGCACAGGGTGCCCAGAGAAGCTGTGGCTGCCCCATCCCTGGCAGTGCTCAAGGCCAGGTTGGACACAGGGGCTCGGAGCAAGCTGCTCCAGTGGAAGGTGTCCCTGTGGCAGGGGGTTGGAGCTGGATGAGCTTTAAGGTCCCTTCCAACCTGAACGAATTTAGGAGTCTATGAACTGAAAGATAAAGTGCAGCATGTGAGAAGTTATTAAGGGGTATCAAGCTTAAAATAGCTCCTCTTCTTTCACTATTATAAAATAAGCTTTGCTTTACAAATTGAGAAAGGGCAGAATTGGAGGCTGGACATGTATTGCAGTGGGATTGACTCAGCACCTGCTCATGCCCTGGCTGACAATGCCCAGATCTGACTGGTCTGAGAGCTGCCAGAAGGCTGCAAAGATGAAGAATAAGAGCTCTGAGTTATCTAAGAGAAGGGATTGCTTTAAATAGGTCAGAGTATTCCCCACTTAGAGTTGCCCAAACATGGGTGTCAACGCTTCCCGCGTTACATATTTGTGGTGATCACTTCACTTGCAGTGCTGTGACATGAGCTGAATTGCTCTGCTCAATACTTGGCCCTGTGAGCGATGGAAACAGCACCAGAATACTGTGCTGTGTCTTGCCTTGCTCTCAGATATGCAAATGTGTCTACAAGGGAGACGCTCTTTGCCAAAAGTTTCAAACATGAAAACTGGCAGGTATCTGTTCTTAACACACAGGCCTCGAATAAGAGGGTGAGTAAATACCTTTAAATCAAAAATGTTAGAAATTCAGCTTATGGTAAGGGCTATTACTGTTCTAGTTTCTGATTTCCTCCCTTCACCTGCAGTAGACTTTGGCTGCTGAGTAAGAATGACAGCACTGAGCCTTTCCCAAGGTACTGGTCGCTTCACCAGGTGGCATCACTTGGAGGGAGCACCTAAGTCCTCTGAGAAGTTCTATATTCATCTTTTGCTCCCCGACGTTTTGTACTCTGGAGCTTTCCTCAGTCATCATTTGAAACTCAAGGGAGAGAAAGAAAACTCCCTTTCCTTCTCCACGACTTCGAACTTCCATTTCCCCAGTTTTTGCCCAGTTACAGAGCTGCACAGTAGGTGCCATGTTACAGACATCACTGTAGGACATGCTGCCCATTTCCTATGAGGCAGGAATGCTGCTGCAGCCATGGGAGTCCCAGCCACACTCGAGCACATAGCTAGTTTTAGCAGGGGGGAAATTCTATAAGCAACATACCAAAGAACTATCTAGAATAGAAGTCTGGTCCCATTCCCTACCCAACTACACATTTCCTAACTTGAGTACCTGAAGAGTGAATCTACATCATCTGCCCAAGTTATTTATTAAGGGTAAAAAAGCTTGACTTAAGCTGAACCAGCCTGAAGCTGTGGAGTGGCTGCAGGTCTATCTCTTGTGGCATCAGAGTACAGCCTAATGCTGGGCTACAGCACCAGAGGGACGATGGAGAGAGGACATGCATCAAGCTGCAGCAGGAGGAGGGGTCAGAGCAGCCTCTGTTCCTCTACTGCTCGCATTCTAGGACAGCTTGAGTGTAGTTTTCAGTTGCATACAAAACTAGAAATAAAAGCATAGAAATCTTTGTGTCCTTGTTCTAACGCTCTCTTTAGTGCACCATATGGTGTATCTACCATATTAGGTAAACAACTTTACAAAATTACAAGAGCAACTGAGATTCATTACAACTTGTGCATTGTAAGTGTGTAGGATCCATTACTGAATAATTTATCTTTTCATACTCTCTGCCTCTTGTTTGACATTGGAAGTCACTTTCTATGCTGGATTCTTCAGGACTAGGATCCAGCTCCTCTCTGCTCACTGCTCACCTTCCATTTCAAAAGAGCAACTTGGGTAAGAGTTCTGATAATGGGTTACTGGTAATTATTGGTGCTGGTGTAGAAATAGTCAGGCTCAACATACAGTGAATGCTATTTCACCCATCAGCAGTTACATCAAAAGATCTTGAACACTACAGGCATGTACGGATTCTCTCTAGTGCCAAGGAGTAAAAGCTAGGAGGAGCTATACAGGAAAAACGTACTACTGCCAGTTGTTTTAACCTGCTTCTTTAGGATATTGTTATTTAGTACTTATTTTCCCCACTGAGAGCTAGCCTATATAGACCATGGCACAGAGACTGTCTCAAGGTACAAGTGGTAATGCAATTCTCTTACTGTTTGTTTGCTATGGTTAGCCTAAAATTCAGTGCAAGAACATCTGACAGAGGTGGCAGGAGGACGGATTAGTGACAAGGGATGTATCAGAGAAGCCTACAGATGGTTTGCTTTTGGTTGCCTCTGCACATCTCCTTTGAGTCTTAACTGACCAGTGAGTTACAGAGTGTCAGGAGAAGACAAAGGAATGGAACCCTGGTTGAAGATGCAGTCCTATGTAGAAGTTCCTGGTCACTAGACATGAAAGTCTGTATGCTGATTCTTCTGCAAATAGGTGCCAGTCTGCACTAACAAGTGTTCAGCAAAACCAGCAAGACTTCCTATGCATCTGCAATACAAGTGTTTGACAATCTACAGGGAAAATATCCCTGGTTTAAGTGTTTTACTTTGAATTTAGGGGCAAATGCAGTCTTACTACCGATGTGTGCGTGGAGATAAATAAACATCAGTTGCTCTTTGCAGTCTGTGGACTTTGCTGTCTTCTCCTTGGAACCTCAGAATACTTCTTATTGGTCTTAAAATCCTCCTGGTTACTTCAGCTATCCTTAGGTGAATCCCTGAAGAAATCTAATGCCTCCAGTAGTCAGGGATTAATATTGAAAATTAAGCGTGTTGTGCTCCAGGAAAGTGGCTTAATCCTGGCATTGTAAGATAAAGAGAGATGAGCAGTAGATTTGGAAAGCAACTGTGCAGTTCCTATGTAGTTGATGATAATCACACCTACCTACTCTCCTGTTTCCACTTAAGGACAGTGTCTACCCTGATGTCTACTAGACTATCTCTGACAGCTACAGAAGCACCAACGCTTTGACTGCAGTTCAGTGTTGCAGACAGAACACCTAACACAGTGCTGCTATGGAATTGTGGCAAAACCACCCACCTATTTAAGTGTTTGTAGCTGCCTAACATTACTGGAGCTCCAGCAGTGGAGAAGAAAACCAAGCAACTCTTCTTTTCATCAAATATATTTAATTATAGTGAGGTATGATAGAATAAATATATTATGTGTCAGCTTATGGGATATCCTTATTATAAAAGCAAGGTATTTAACAATACCTGGTTACTGATTGGGAAATACATAGAAAATACCTGTTAGAGACTACTTAAGAGCTTGATTTTCAAAAAGCAAAGTTACCTGAGCACACAACTTCCTTGGCAATGTCTCAGTTTTATGAGCCAGTTAGAATACTGTCACTAACACATGCTACAGGCCAGTTCACATGGGAGTTACTTAAGTATGGCTCTACTGGGACATACCAAAGGCTATGCAGCTCAACGTCCTGCACCCAAAAGAAGATGCCCAGAGAATACACTGTGGGATAAAGGATTATTGTTTAAAGGCCTTCAAGGCTTTACAGTCTGAAAGCACTGTGGGATACTCTTTTCCTTCCCAACTGCTCCTAATTTAACTCTCATGCTTGGTACTGCTGGCCAAGATAGGAAGTATCAATATCCAGAGTCATCTGTGAGGGAAGAGCTAGAGAATTGTATTAAGAAAAAGGAGCACTTGTGTAAGAAGATAGAAGTTTCCAACTACGCAGCCCAGCAGCTAGCAGTTCTTTAAGCATATATTCTGAATGGAGATGACTAGCAAACATGCAGAATGATGGCTGTGAAGGTGACCAGAAGCTCTGTGCTGAGAGATTTCTTGTGCAAGTCCATATGATTCATGGGGAAACAAAATATTATTGGAAGATTAGTGTCCTTCTGGTCACTACAAGGAGCTTCAGCAATTTCACATTAATCTGAATTTAGCAAGTTATTAGAATTGACAGGGAAAACTGAACGTGTTTTCCCCTCTCAGCAAATGAGAGTAACTTTTGCAATATTGAAACTTTCAGTGTAGGTACAAAAAGGGTCAAAATCCAGATTCTTGTAGATCTGAACTGAAAGAATAATCCCATGTGCAAGTATTTCTGCAAGTTGTCTTCAGATAACAAACACACTAAACAACCTTCCCCACTCCATCTCAAGTTTACAGTCTGCCAAATGCTCTCACCAAGCCCAATGAGATGATAGGATTCCTCAGAGCAACCTTATAAAGAACCCAGACACAAATATACTGAACTGGATAGCCAGTGTAGACAGAAGATGTATGGAAACATCATCATTTAAAGAAAAAAATGAAAGCCATCTAGTAAAGAATGTTTGTTTTGGTTGTAATGAAATGAGATTGTATCTAAACATTTTGTGGATTTGGAATGCAGGAAGTATGTAAGCAGGATTTTGCCAAGTTTTATTTTTTTAATGACTTCTCTGTAGGAACTGATTAAAATACATCACGTTGGAGCTTCTTTATTGAGCTGCCTCAGACTTTATGAAAACACAGCATGAAAGACTATTATACAAGGGTGGTTTTTCCTGAAATCTCCAGCCGTCTAAGATAGTTAGGGATGTGATTTCAGACTATAGGATACTTTCTTACACTACCTAAAATATATTCTCACTATTGAAGACAGAGTTCAAGGACTTGGCCCTATTCTTTTAATGAGCTTTTGCTTAGTTTTGAAACTCCAGACGAATCCACTAATTCAGTGAATAATGGGATGTGCTCCCACAGCTGACAGAAGTTTCTAAGCAAGTCAGACAAATATTTTATCTCTTAAATACAAGATGGGGAAAACTTCCAGCCCAAAGGAAATGACACACCCGGATGGAAGGCCAAGTTTTTTATGCTAACTTGTTCCTTATTGTCAGTTTTGTCTGTATGGGGTTACTTCCAATACTCTTCCATTACCACAAAAGTACATGAAGTATGAAGTATAACACCACTATTACTTAACTTTCTAACAAGGACAGTAAACCCATCCATCTGTGCACACCAGCTATTTATTAGTGACCAGACAAAATGGCAGGTAACAAACACAACTTGCTTAGGAAAGGTGATTACTTAGGGAAGCAATAGACAATTTGTTCTTGTGTAAGAAAGTCAAATTGTTCTTATGCAACTATAGAACTTGTTTCTCTTCATTATTTCCAGCAGACCAAAAGAGGGAGCTAGTTTTGCTGCTCTGTACAGTTTAGTGGGCTGCTCTGTACAGTAAGTTTCCCCATTCATAACTATTTCTTGATATGAAGCCATCTAAGTAGAATTGTACAACTTGGCAGCCTGAAGCCATCTCTGCAACACCCTCATCCCCAACAAGAACCCATCAAATGTAACATCCTTGCGACTTTAAAAGCTCTGTGAAGTTGCATTCTGGTCCATGTGTTGGTATGATCATACAACAGGCTATCTCTTACCCTGCACTATCACCAGCATTTCCACCAAAATTTCCACAGTTGCCCCCTTCCTAAGCTTTCCTGTCTTTAAAAGGGATTCACAGAAAACAGAACCTTAAACCTCTTGCAATTTGACTGCTTTCAAACTTCTCAATTGCAAAGGCTCATCTGTCCTTACAGGAGTCACACCATCCTCTTTTATATGTGGGTGGAGTAGGAGCCACCTGCATCACACAGAGACTGAATCACTAACTCTTGCCCTGTAAAACCTGGTGCATTATTATCCCATTGCAGCTCAGATAGTTATTGGAAAAGTTATTCAGCACTAAGTCACTTTGGGCTGCCAGTTCATTCTCCTGCAGATGCAAATACCAGATTTATTTCTGTCTAGAATAAAAGATGTATTTTTCTAGCTCACAATCTCACCCTCAACTCTACTTCTGCTTCATCAACAACAATTCAGATTCTTCAGACCAGCTTACACTCTGAGTTATACTTGCACAAACCTTTTGCCATCAGAACGTCTTACTAGCAAGTGTATGTCCCACAGAGCCTTTAGAAGTTTCTCTCAGGTGATGTCACGGGCACAGTAAGTGCTGAGGATGCTGCTGAGTAAAGTGAAGAATACAAATGAAGCTGTGATGAACTCTGGAAAGAAAAGGCGAGTGTTAGTATGAATTAAGTGAGGAAGCTGAAATGCCAAATCTCAACTGTTATTATTAGGGCTACTTTACAGAACAAAACTGTGGTTTAAAAGTGCACTTGTCATACATCAAGTAATAGTGAAATGGGGTTTGAAGCACAAATGACACAAAGGCTTTGGAATAGTAAATGTCAGCATTTTCAGGTGGATGGGGAAAGCGTGTACACAAATACTACAACAGTGAGGAGAAGCATGAGTTAGGACTGACCAGGCAGAGGGACACTGCTGTCTTTTGTGAAGACTGATTGACAGTTTAGCTCCTAAAATGTGATGAAGATTAAATGCCAGTTTATGGTCATGCAAAAAGAAATTACTTTCTGAAAGTGCACTAACATCCTTTTGCTATGAATTCCCTTTCTCGGTATCTGTACCCAAAACCTGAACTAGAACTTATAAACTTTAAACCCCAAAGCCTGTTTAGTTTTAATTTAAAAAGCAAAACAACAAACATATATGCAGAACACCCTAAACTGGTGACTAATAATTCCATGCTCAAAGGCATTTCTGAAACATGCTTTTTAAAACAAGTCCAAGAGCAATTGGAGCTATGAAACTGCAGCAGATGTTATGCAGGGAAGGAACAGCATAGTGCTGGGTCCAGGTAAAATGATATATTCCCCGCCTGAACAGGAAGAAGTAGAATCTACAGTTCATTTGTAAAACAGGTGAAGTGAGGGACATTTCTTTGGCTCAAGAACAGAGTCCACTGTAGAGAATTAATTCAAATAAGGTCTCTGAATTAAAAAATGTAATAAAGGAGCTCTTTCCTCCATGTTCTCAGCCTGGTGATGTATGTTGTCTGACGATTTAATTTGTGCTAGCAAGAACAGGGCAGCAGAATCTTGGTTCAACCCCATTACAGCCCCAGTGTCAATGAAATAGTGCTCAATACTGACAGCCTGAATGAGTTCAATAATTTGTAGAGAGACAAAGAAGTACAGAGAGGGAAGGAGGAGCTCTTAAAGAAACACTGCTATTGAGCTGTCTGTAATTTTAGCCAAACCCAATTAGTAAAGATAGATTTCTGTACAGGGAATGGTGAAATTTGCTAGTCTGCAACATCCAGACACTGTAGTATGCAGTGAATATAACTTGTACTCTCCAAAACATATGATTTTGTTCTGGAAAGACTGTCCACAGAGCAATGTGTCATCTGCTCCTTAGTCCCTCCACTGACACCCCTGTGAAGTGTACCAGCAGGTCAGTTGTGATAGCCTAGTTGTAACTTGGCCTCTTCTCAGCCTACAAGTGGATTTAGATCATTGGCTATCTCTGCAGCTCTTGAACCTCTTAGAAAGTTGGGCATGTGGTTAAATACACAGATTCTTACTCTCCTAGTTAATGCATGAACCTGAAACCCTACAAAAATCTTTATTTGCAGACTAATCCTCCCCAGCATGCGATCCCTCAACGACAGCTTTTTGCCTCCTTTCTCCATTTAGGAGAATTATCTCCTACTTGCCCGTCAGCACACTCTTCACCTTTTGCTCAATTCATACCTGAAAAAGCTTGATGAAACCCCACTTTGAACCTATCCCCTCAGAGCAGTGCATCTGTGAGGAGGATGCACAATTGCAATTCACTTCAGTGCAATGCTACCCAAGAACAAGCAAAACAAAGTCAGAGATTTTTCCTAATGGAACATGGTATTTTAGGCTATGTTCAGTGTTCCCCACTGTCCTACATAGACAACTATCTCTCTTTATGCCCTAATTATTTCTAAACTTAGGTCTGAATCCTCTTACTCATTTGAATGGGAGATAGATGCCTAAACACCTTTCTTTAGAATCTAGGTCTGGTTTGTACGACTTCACCCTTCAATTTTTTATTACCAAACTGCAAACTCCAGCTTTGTCAACCTTTTTTTGTATCACATACATTGTCCATTTAGCTGTCTTCATAGAAGGATCTTTTAAATTTATCTCCAGCTTCCACATTTGTGAATAAATGACCCCCACGTTAGCCAGGATCACTTCAAGTTGCCCTTTGTGATTCAGAAAGCCTCAGTATAAAAGGTATTTGCACTTCTCTAACTGCTCCACCCCCCCCCCCATGCTTCAAAGATTAAATGAATCACAAGAGCAGACAGGATTTTGGCTTGTGTTCTTGGTCTTATGTCTAATACTGAGTATGGTTTTTTAGTCTCATATTCACAGCTTTTAAAGCAGTGCCTGTAGTGTAGTGATGTGAGCAGGAAAAGTCTGTAAGAGCAGTTTATGTTCATTCTAATAAAAGATGTTATACATGTCCAAGATATTTCAGTTTTATAAAATAAGTGAATGTATGCTCCCTGCTTACTCTGTTGCATCAAAAGTGTCCCAGTGATTTCTAACCTCTGTAGGTTCAGGTAATCAAACACAACTTTCATAAGCAGACCCTGTAGATTCCTGAGGTACAAACAGCAAAGACTGGGCACGTCAGGATGACACTGTTGGCTTAGCCCACAGACTTAAGCTGATATATTGAACCTGACTTAAACAACTGAAGAGTTTAGATGCCAGACTAGTAATCTGAATCCCCACATGGGAATTTGAATCTTCCACATGGAAGTGCTACACAAATAGAAAAAAGCCTCCAGATTTTCTTTGTAATATTAGCACTGGATTTCACAAACACAAGAAGAAATGATCATTTTGCATCACAGCAAAGAACTGACCTTCCCCATAGAAAATAACTGATTTAGCATGGAAGAGAGCAAACTGACTACAGTCTGAAAAGTGGTATTGAATGCACACATCAACAAGAAAACAAAGATACACTATTTTAATGCGAGTGTATTTATAGTAAAGCTGGTTAAAAGTCATAGCTTAAGAGCCTGCTAAATCTAGTGGGCAATTCAGAATGTTACTTTTTTAACCCCTATAGGTAAAGCTTAATGTCAGATACTGACATCTTGTAAAGACTGTGTATCTATTTGTATTCCATACAGTTACGGCATGGAAATAATCAGCAATGCCTAAATTCTGGTCTTGCTTTGACACTGACAAACTTTGTGGATCTGGAAAAGAAGTTTAAGCTCTCTGCCATTGCATCCATTTTGGTAAAAGATGTTTTATCCTGACTGTGCAACACACTTGGACTGCTGAGAAACGCAACGGAATAAGGTAGAGTTAAGCCAGTTCCATTAAGTAGACAGTGGAGGAACTGATTAAGACAGTGAGTCCCACACAAGCCTAAAACTATGACACTCTATAAAATATTTCATTTAAATCCAGGAGTTAAAAATTGACTTTAAATTTGATGTATGGGGGTGGAATGAAAGATGTCAAAATTGAAAAGTCTGAGGCAGACTCAAAACTGAAAAGAAGAGAAAGAGAGGGGAGAGGGAACAGAGCAGTATTACAGGTATTACAAACTCTGTATTTATTTCTGGAATAAAAAAGAAAGCAACACCTATTGATTTGGGGTTTATTTTCCAGAAGAGATCCCCTTTTCCTGAGCTGCCAGACAAACCAATGTACCAAAGCACTACTTCCTACATATGCCATTGTAGCTCTTTTTCTTAGACTGTGGGAAATGGAGAAACTAATTTTATGAAGCACACACCTAAATTAAACTCACCAAGTTTTCTTTTTTTTTCCCACCTACTTATTCATGTTTCTATTTGTTTCTTTTCATAATCCATTCTCCTTCCCTCTCCTTTCCCTTTATTCAAGTTTCCTTCAGTTGACTTTACATGTTGTTTTTTTTTTTCCTTTATTCTACTTCCTCTGCTTTTCTTTATTTAGCACAAAAATACTTACATAGATGGTTCATTTTTTCGCCTTCTTGTCTGAAAAATCTTTCCAGTTTCTCCAACCTTTTCTAATCCCTCCTTCATTCCTGAGCTCTTTTCTACTGCCCATTCCCCACACCACTACAGAATCATGTTCTGCACTTGGTGACCTTCCCCTCCTTCCCTGCAGCTACCACATTTTTCTTTGGAACTACTGGTTTGATTGAACTTTTCTTCCTGTAGGGCTTAAATGTTTCTCCCTTCCTTTGTATCATCTGTTTTGCTTGCCACACCCAAATTCAAATTTCCCTTCCACTTTCACCTCTCAATGCTAGTCTCTTTTGTCTTCTCTTCTTTGCCATCAACTGGAAATATATCCCACTCTCCCCCAGTGATGCTTCAGCAGTCAGTGCCTGTCTCACTTCTTCCAGCAGTTAGAGCTTGTTATAGATGTTTCCAGCAGCTGCCCCCTGTCATTAACTCTGCCAGTTGTGTCAGTTCAGCTCACATTGCCATGGATATGGCCATCAGACACCACATAAGTGCTGTCTCAACCATCACACACCACACAAATTTTCATCACTGCTGTAAGTCACAGATTCCTTTAACTGTTATGAAATGTCATGAGATTTGACCATTCCAAATGCCACTAGTTGCATTGCAACTGCCATGAGTGTCTCCTTAGTTCTGGCAACATAGGTTTTCTGTAAATGAACTAGCTATCTAGTTACATACTCTGTATCCAAAGACCAGAGTGGTTTAAAATGCTGTTCTGTGAAAGCTGTGCCTGCTACAATCATTGCTACATTTCTTCCTAGTACCATGATGAACTGCAGTCAGCTTCTTAATATGAAGCCAAATATTCCCTGTTCAAATGAGGGATGCCTGGGCCTGCACACTTGTCATGAATTCACCCAGTGAAAGATGCTCTTTCATTCCCCTTTTTCAGCACTTAATGGATGAAGAACTATTTTTTAGCAGAATAAATAACAGTAAGAGGGCATTTAAAATGTCAGGTGTCATATTTCTTCTTGCTGATCACCTGTTATCTCTGACTGTTGTCAAACAAAAGATACTGAGGAAATCCACTACAAGAATCTCTTCCAGATGCAGCTCGATTTATGGCCATGATGATTATAACAAAAATTCCATATGTTTGCATAACTTACCAGTGTATAGTTCATGCCACTTTGGAGTATTCTTTTTCCACATTGCTTTACTGAGTTTTCCTGCAGACTCCACGTTGCTGTATTGTGGGGGGGGTTGTCCCTTTGTCTTCCCTCATGTCAAGGAAAAAAAAAGAAAGGATAAAACAATCATAATGCCTTTCGTTGAATACAGAACAAAGCACTGGAACTAGAGTGACATTTTGGTGTGCATAAAGAAACCAATGAGTTGAACTGAAAATCCCATTTACCATTTCCAAGACATATTTTAAGAGTGGAAATAAGGAGTTAAATCTATTGTGGAATTGGAGAATATAAACTAAAAGAGGGAGTGCTGCTTCTATACCTTTGTTGGCATTGCCTATACTGACACTGGTTTTCCCATTCAAAGTAATTCTTTACAACTGCCTGAAACTGAACATTTCAGTTTGTTTGGTTCCCTCCCCTATTTTATCTCCATTTGAACTCTTCCACATGTTTAAACCAGAGATTCTTCATACAGGGGAGCTGCATGAATTTTTTCATAAGGAAGTTTCTAACCATTAATTTGCCCGCTAAAGGGCACTGTTCACTGCAGTACAAAAGGAATCCTTTCTTGCTCTGGATAGGTTATGCTTAAGGCTGAGCTAAATACCTAAAAAGATTCACTTTAAGGGCTGACCTTCTTATTCAAAAATACTGTTTGCTCAATTAATATATATGAAATAATTCACCCTGGGTTTTTTCAGCAACTCTCTCCATGTTAGAACAATGAAAATTTAACAAAAGACTGCACACGTGTGTCTGTAGGAGTGAGAAGGAAGGAGTCTTCCCTGCTCAGACAGGGAGCTGTGCTCTCCGAGCTGTGTAAACAGCATAAAGAGTAGCACCATAAAATGCTTAAGGTCACAGGGCGGACAGCTTGGGGCATCTGGAGAACAGCTCTCTGGGCACTGGTGCGCAGGTTGTTACGACATGAAGATAAACCTGTGGACTGCAGACTACCAGGTCAGTGCTGTATCACTGCTGTACACGTCACCAAGGCGCATGCAGCTCAGTGAACCTCTCTGCACTCAGACAATGGCTCCCGCTGCATTGTCTCCAGCTGCTGGGTTTGAATGTGGCTCATCTGCGTCACACGAATTAGTGAGATCCGCACACCCTGCCCTGCCTGATCCCCGTCCGCCCTCACGGTGCTCACTGACTCCATCTCCCACCACCCGTCTGCCAGACACTACCGGCTGTTTCTCATTGACCCGCAGTTGGCTTCGGCGCCGGCGGAATCCCAGGAGACCCCGCACTGAATGCCTCATAGTCCAGCTGCGGCCTAGCATTGTGGTCCCTCTGCCCGCATGTCACCTGCCGCCATCCCACCTCGCCCGCTGAACAAAGGCACGGTGTGTGCCCTGCCGTGCACCGAGGGCTCTTCCAGCACCAAACCAGCCTCCTCCACCGCCACGGAGGGAGGAGAAGGGGCTCGGGGGCAGCCGTTCCTGTCCTCCTCAGAGCGGGGTGGTGAGGAGCGGGGTAAGGTGAGGCGGCCGGCGGCTCTCAGGGAGGGAACAGCTCCCGTCAGAGACGGGATCGGGGCGGGGGTGAGGGGGGGAAGGCGGTCCCCTCCTCTCCGCTTCCTTTCTGCGGTGTGTGACCAAAGCTCCGATGCCCGGGTGAGACCGGGCAGCAGCTCACGGCTGGGCAATGCCAAGAGCAGAGCGCGGCGCGCCGCGGCCATGACCCGGCACCGGCTGCTCCCGCTCCGCTCCCCTCAGCCGCGGTAGCGCGGGAAGCGCTACAGCTCCCGCCCCGCCCCTCCTGGCCCCGCCCCCCCGCAGAGCACGTGGCACCCTCGCCTGTGACGGTCACGTGATGCGGGTTTCCCCCCTCCTCTCTCCTCCCCTCCCGCGCCTGACCCGGTCTCCCGTCTGGTCAATAGCAGGCGGCGGAGGCGCATGCGCGGAAGGGCCGCAGCACACCCCCGCTCTGGCCCCCCCCCGCAGCCCGTCTCCCTCCGCCCTACATAAGGCGGCGCGGCGGGGTCCGGGCTGCGCACGGTGCGCGGCGGCTCCGCGCGGCCTCCTCCTGCCTCAAGCACACCCCCTCCATCACCTCGGCACGGCCGCGCCGCCGCCATGAGCTCGGGGACGCCGTACATCGGCAGCAAGATCAGCCTGATCTCCAAGGCGCAGATCCGCTATGAGGGCATCCTCTACACCATCGACACCGAGAACTCCACCGTGGCGCTGGCCAAGGGTGAGGCTGCTGAGGGGGGTGCGGGCAGGCCTAGGCTGGCTCTGGCGCTGTGGCCCGCCGCTCGCTGAGGAGACGCGGGGAGCCCCCCCCTGCGCCTCGTCTGCCGTCTCCGTGCCCTGAACAATGAGCCCGGCCTGGGCGAGCGGCGGCCAGAGCCCGCCCGCCTTGAGAGGCTGCGGCGGGGCCCGCGGCTCATCCGCGCTTGCGGCCCGAGCTTGGGGGTGATGGGGCCGCAGCCCCGCGCTTTCGGCGCTGCTGCCTTTCCGTGAGTCAGCATCTGCGAGGCCGCTCTGCGATGCGGGGCCGAGCACGGGACGTGGCGGGGGCTTGCGGTGCCTCGCAGGGCCCGCGGTGCTGCGGGGTTCTTGGTTGTCACAGGCAAGTTACCAGCCCCCCGATGGAGAAGGGCCGCCAGCAATGCCGGCTTCTGTTGCTATTGTCAGCGCCGGGAAGGTGATGGTTTGTGCGGCTGCTCGCGGTTTAGCTCCCCTTCCCTGTCTGTACATGGATGCCCGGCGATGTGTCGCTGCTCGGCTCCAGTAGGGCCACAGGCCAGAGCTGGAGAAGCCAGAGTGGCTGTCGATGTGCCTTTGTTCCTTTCGGGATCAATAACTGGACTCTGCTCCGGTGGAGAGGCTGAGAGCTGGTGTGCAGAACGCTGTGGGCATCCGCACGTGGGTCTGGCTCTTCCTACCCTGCAGGCTGCTCATCAAAGATTTGCATCTTGTTTCCCCATAGAAATGGTGATCCTTATCTTCTGCTTAAATGGTGTCATTTTGATTCAGTTGTCACCTGTGTTGAGAACTGCTGTATTTACTCTTAGAAAAGCCTGCCCTGTCTTGTGCAGTCTCTCAGATAAGATCTTGTTTCTGCACTGCTTTTAATGTCCAGCGTGGCTACTCCAGCTAATGATCATCAGCTTTCTCCCTGTGTTTTATTCCCTGTTCCGGGAAGCTCACACCTTTTTCGTTCTGTGTTGCCTTCAACAACTCATCAGGTTTGTCCACAAACAAAACATCTTTTGTTTTGAAACATTACCTGTTGGCCGCAGACACTGACTTGCTCGATTCTCAGCCGTCCTTAAGGCAGCCTGTGCCACAGCATTTATTCAGTATAATGGCATTTATGTGATGCAGGACATTATTTGACACCTATTAGTGTGTATTCTGAAGTTAAAAATGTGAGGTTTAACGAATTCCCTTTCTCCACCCCTCAAGGGCATAGCTGTTTATTTGACTGTATAAACAGAGCTATTTCTGTTAGTGTTCCACTCAAAGCGAGTGAGAGGTTGCCATTCCTTTACTCTATGTGCAAGGTCTTCACCTTTACCCAGCAGCAAGTAGAAATGGTTTCTCATAGTTTTAGCTTTTGCTACTTCAGAGCTTCAGTGGTGTGTTTCAAAGGCAAATGTGCTTGAAGTGCTTTATGGTGTGAGAAAGTACATGCTCTGTGTAAGATTTCTGCTAGTTCTTGTGTTTATTGCTCTCTTAGTGTTCAGTTTTGATTAACTGGAATGCCTAAGGAGTAACAGTTACAAATAGATAGAGAATAAATACATTGTTTTCCTCACTTAAAGTGCTGCTTTAAACTTTCACAGGACAAACCCTGCTTTTCACTTTAGCTCAGAGGGGGTTTTAATTTTGATATAAAGTGTCCAAATTTAATGTCAGAACATAGCAACAATGTTAAAGTTGGTGACAGCAAAATTAACCCTGCTTAGTGGGAAACAGTGGATTAGTACGCTCGATCTCTGAAGCATTAGAAGAACCATGTATTGCTGACATGCAGCTGAAGTTGTCCAGATAGCTAGTAAATCATTATTATTAAGCCTTAGTTGCAAGTGTTTAAGGCTCAGACAACTTCATTGTGTAATGTTGGTGCTGTTCTCTTCACTTCCACCACCCAAGTGATATAAAGAAAAAATTAGGTTGAAAGAGACCTCAGGAAGGAGTCTGGTTCAGCCCCTTACTAGAAGCAGGGATAACTTCAGTTGATCTTGTATTTGGTTCCTGTTGAACCTCAATGCATGCATGATGTCTTAAACACTGGCTAAGGAGATTCCATGTGCTTAATTAAGCACTGCAAGAAATGTGTGTCTTGTTAGATGCTGAACTTAAATTGCAAACAAAGGAGGTTTAAGCCCATTACTGTCCTGTTGGCAGTGAATACCAGAAATGACCTCCCCCTTCTGTAGAAGTCTGAAGAATCTGGAACTTTCAAGAAATAACCACAGGCTCTGTTTTCTAGATAGCCAGTTGCCTTTGTTATGCTTCCTGAACCTTCAGAGGTCTCCTCAACAGAGCCTTGCACATGAGTACAAACTGTATGATAAAACACAAGCTGCAGCGTAGTGTGGGATTGATTTCCTGCTCATCTGTAAACAATAGTTGCTGTAACCCTTCATGGGATACAGCCCTTCAGACCCCCACAGGAACTTAAAGCTGTATTTTGTGATGTGCCAGAAATAATCAAACCCTTCAAATGCAGAGGTGCACATGCTCAACTCCTCCAGCCATCTGAAATGCCCTCACTGTTTTGACTACAGGGACACAAGTTATCCAGCTTTTTAGTTAGAAACCTTGGGACCAGCGAGTTGAGAGGATGCCTGGACAGCTTTTGGCTCTGCCAGTCATGTGTTTGTCTGTGGAAGCTGACAGGATGATCCCAATGCTCAGAGAAGATGTGGTGCTTTCCAAACTAGCCATGGGATTGTGCAGTAGTCCCTGCATAGCTTTAGTAGTCTTGCCATGAGCTATGTGCTGTAAGAATCTAATCTTGAGCAGCGGTATCAGTGGTATGGTTCATGTTTAAAAGGACACAAGCATTGCTGTCAGTTTATAATCTGCTTTTGGTTGACTAGGTTACAGCTGTAATATGATCAAACAACAGC